CCTCCTATCCCACCATGGCGCACCCCCCCCCCCCCCCCCCCCCCCCCACACCACCACCACCCCACTCGTCCACCACCACCACCACAAACGCCCACCTACCAATCCCACCACCTCCCTGCAGCTCCCCTCTGTACCAGCTTGACCCAGCGCTGCGCAAGCGCGATTGGCGCTGGCACGCGTTCCGTAACAGAAAGCTGAGCCTGGCGGGCGGCAAGGTGAGCTGAGTTGGCGCTGAGCTGGCGGCGAGCGGGCAGCGAGCTGGGCCTGCGTGGACAGTGTGTGGTGGACACGTGTGCATGGTGTGGTGCAGTGGGGGTGCCCAGCGGGTGGCTGCCTGGCTGGTTTGGTGGGGCAGGCGGCAACCGCCATGAGCGGGTGTGGCGCCCTACCCAGCTAGCAGTTTTTCTTGGAAGTCCCTGTTCATGGCTTTCCTCCCCGTCCAGGTGGACTTCTTCTTTTGGGATACGACCCCCTCAGACGTATACAGCTTCTACTCATGCTGGGGCGGATTCAAGGGTGGAGTACGCTCCCAGGTGGGTTGATGGGGTCGGTGGGGCGGGTTGTGACGGTGCGTATGTGTGCGTGTGTGTGAGCGTGTGTGTCGTGGAGAACTGTTCTGATGCCGCCACCCACCGAGCAGCCACGCTCCCTCCCATCCATGTCCAGCCCTGTACGCAGTGCGCCCTTGGAGGTTCTGCTCCCCTGCTTGCACTTCGCATGCCTGCCACCCCGCTAGGCTGTTTTCGCTGAAAAGCCAGCTGCTCCCGTGTGTCTGCAGAGCTGGCCCAACAACGTGGTTTGGCTCCAGAATCAGCTAGCTGCCAGCAAGGCCTCCTGGAAGCTCATTGTGGCCCACCATCCGCCCCTCAGCAGCGGTGAGGATGCCAGGGTGGTGCCGCTTGCTCGCTTGTCCGCCAGCCCTGCCCCAACAACCAGCCAACAACCCGCCGCCCCTGCTTCCCTCGCGGGCTGTCCCCTGGGCGGCTGGCTCCTTGCTGGCTTCCCCCTGGGTCCCATCAACCCAGACCGAAGGGCGTAGTCTTTCTTTCCTTTTGCAGGGTACCATGGGGTGAACCCAGAGGTCCAGGTTGCCGTGGAGGCGCTGGTTAGAAAGTACCGGGCCCAGGTCTACTTTGCGGGTGCGCGCCCCACGAATTGCCCCGAACAGAAACCACCTGCGGTGGTGCCCTGGCTGGCCGCCGCTTACCCCCTCGTGGCTGGGTGTGGCGGCATTCAGCTGAGCAGAGTTTGATGCGACGCGCCATGCATTTGTTTGGTGCAAGCAGGGCATGATCACAACCTGGAGCACCTGCACTACTGCGACTCCAGCTTCTACGAGCCCAACTATCACATCATCGTCTCGGGTGAGGCCGTTGTCTTTCTGTTTTCTTCCCAACTCCTCCCAACCCTCGGAATGTGGCCAGAGGCCCCCTGCCTCTGGGTGTCAGCCTGGCACCACCCTAACGCCACGTGCCTACCCGCCTCCTGCGCTGCAGGCGGCGGCTCCCGGCGCTACACAAAGGGCTTTGGCACCAGCAACGGCAAGCCCTCTGACTACTACCCCACAGACCCCTCTTCGGTGTGGGGCGCCCTCACCGACGGCTTTGTGGCCGTCACCCTCAAGGCCCAGGAAATGGTGGTGCAGTTCTACTCCACCGATTTTAAGAACGGCACCACGGCGGTGCACGTGGCCCGCATCCCGCGCCTGCTCAAGCCGGGGCCCGACCTGGATTGACGCCAAGCCTAAATGGGGGCTTTGCTCTCGTGCACTGCTGCCTCTGTTGTTGTTTCGTGTTTCCGGGGTTTGCAGTGCCCCTGTGTCTCCTGATTTGTTTTGTTCTCTCCCGCCATTAAAAAATCATTTGACGCATGAAGGTTGACCTCCTACTTTAGTGCCCGTTTCTGCATGCACTGCATGGCACGGCACCGCTGCCGCCTGGCTGCCAGTGCGCGGCGTGGGCCTAATAACAGCCGGCCATTGGGTCCAGCCTTCCAGGGCTTTTTGTGACGCGCAAATGTTGCCTAGAAGTGTAAAATGGTATTAAACGTCAATGCTGCAGGCCAACCAAGTGTGAGAGGCACGCCAGCCTGCCAGCACAGCGCTGCCGCCACTCCCCTGCTGGCGCTGCTGCAGCCGCCGCTGCCGCCACCGCCGTCAGAGTAGGCGCAGATCTGGGCCATCCAGGAGCCAACGCCGCCAAACCGGGCGGCCAGAATAGTCTCGTAGGGCCAAGTGCTCTTCAAGTTAACGTGGCCGACCACCACCGCCAGGTGGACGGTTCTCCGGGCCGGCCTCTAGGTGTCGCTGTTCGGCCCACAGACCTTCAGTGCCGCCGATTGTCCCTTGCTCATCATCCCGAAGCCCGGTTTGCCTTTCCGGAGCACCCCGCGAGTGCCAGTATCGCGATGCCAACCCGTCCTCTTGCGGCGGCTTACGGGCCGCTGCTCATGCTGTTGTGCGCCCAGGCGATGCTTGTCGGCGTGGCGGCCCAGGACTCCCAGGCGGGCGTGCAAGTCGCCATGCCGCAGGCCTTTCCCGTGCGTTTCTTCGTGGTTGGCGACTGGGGGAGAGCCAGCGACTCGTGAGTGGCTGCTGCAGAGCCATGATTCGTGCCGCTTAGGGGCAACGCCTTTGGGGGCGCCGTGGCATCAAGTGTACGGCGGCGCGCCGACATGCCTGCCGCCATCTGCCTGGCCAGCCTCTGTTGGGCAGGCCGGACACAGCACCCCAACCAGGCAGCTCCTGAATAGCGGTCTGGGCGCATATTGATACTGCTGCCATGCTCCTGGGGCAGTGCATCCAGCTGCCACCTTCCGGCCCGCAAAACCTATGCGCCTTGCCCTACTGTCGGCACTGCCACCGCTGCGTGCAGGCACCCCAACGGCTACAACCAGACCCGTGTCGCGCAGATGATGGCCAAGAAAGCAAACAGCGCCTACGGCAAGCCGCACTTTGTGCTGAGCACTGGAGACAACTTGTAAGCCGCGGGGCTGGAGGATGCAGGCAGGGGACACCCCAACCACACATGTGCACTGGTAATTGCTACCGCCATCGCGCGCCTGTTTTCCGCAGTTACGGCTTTGGGCTGAGGAACCTGAGCGACCCCTGGTTCACACAGAAGTTCACCAACATCTACAAGGGCCCAGGGCTGCAGGTCCCCTGGTTCGCCGTCTTGGGCAGTGAGTTTGAGCTGCAGATTGGGCGGGGCTCCAGCAGGCAGCGGGCTGCTGCAGCCCTGCTAGCCCTGCTGGTGCGGAGCTGGCTGCTATGCGGGGTTGCAGGATGTGGTGCTCACAACAGCCGTGGGGCTCATGCGCGTGCCGCCCAACCCGCCCAACCCGCAAACGCACCTACCTACCCTCACCTCGCCCAACTCTCACCCCTCCATCCAAACAGATCATGACTACGGCGAGACCAGCTATTGCACCCCAGATGAGATCACGTGAGTGGGGCAAGGCTGCTCGTGGCCACGCTCCTCTGGTCCCTCGCACACTCAATGCACTCCACCCCCACACCACCGGGTTGTTGCCACCTGGCAAGCCCTCGTCTCCCACCCACCACCACCCCGCAGCTCCCCTCTGTACCAGCTGGACCCTGCGCTGCGCAAGCGCGACTGGCGCTGGCACGCGTTCCGCGACAGGAAGCTGAGCCTGGCGGGCGGCCAGGTGAGCTGAGCTGGCGTGACGAGTGTGTGTGGGGGGGTGGTTTGAGAAGCAGGCCTGTGCGGTCGCTCATGCTGATGACGTGTGGAGGGAATGGGATAGCCCCATCTCATCGTCACGCCACGCCACCACCTCAGCCTCCTTGCTTTCCTCCCTCTCCAGGTGGAGCTCTTCTTCTGGGATACCACACCCTCCTCATCCTACAACTACTATACCTGCTCCGGAGGCTTCAAGGGCGGCATTCGCACCCAGGTGGGCCGCAAAGCAGGGGCGGGTGGCAGGCAGCGGGTGGCGCTGCGAAGGTGCCTCCGGGAGCAGCTGCCGGGGCTGCCTCCAGCTGGGCAGCCACCCGCGGTGCACCCCGCTGGCCAGCGCTTGTGCCAACCTGGCCGAATGGATGGCATTTCTCCGCCCCTGCAGAGCTGGCCCAACAACGTTGTGTGGCTCCAGAACCAGCTGGCTGCCAGCAAGGCCTCCTGGAAGCTCATTGTGGCCCACCACCCGCCCCGCAGCAGCGGTGAGGGCGCCGCGGGGCAGCCCTGCGTGCGAGCCTGCCTGCCCGCCTGCCTGCTGGCCCTGCTCTCCGGGCCGTGCTGCCCTCCCGGCGTGCGTGCCAGCCCTGCCAGAATCCCAACTCTGCCCGGGCCCGGCCAGCCAGCCCACTAGCCAGCCCCCAGTTTCCCCTTCCCGGGAGGCACCTGCCCGCTCCCCGCTGATGCTCTCACCCCACGCCCGACGCCGAGGCCTTTTTTCTTCCTTTCTTTCCGCAGGGCGCCACGGCGGCTCCTCGGAGGTCAAGTACGCTGTGGAGTCGCTGATTAGAAAGTACCGGGCCCAGGTCTACTTTGCAGGTGCACCGTCTCCTCCCACCGCCCTGCACCTGCTGCGCCCTTTTGCTTCTTCTTTTTGCCCCCGCGGCGGCCGCCTTCCCCCTACTGCCGGCCTAGGCCCACACCCATCGGAGGTTGCCATTGCGGCCCGTCAGGGCGGGGCATCGGACAATGGAGCCACCTCATGTGTGCTTAAGTGGCGCGTCCTGCCTGCAGGGCACGACCACGATCTGGAGCACCTGCACTACCAGAGCTCCAGCTTCTACAAGCCCAACTACCACACCATCGTGTCGGGTGAGGCCGTGTTGCTGCAAGGGGCAGGTTGAGGCGGTTGTGGGCCCGCCTGGCGGCAGCGCTGGCCTGTCTGCCTGCCTTGCCGTCGGGTGAGCACACCAGCCGCCCCCGACCCCGTCCTGAGCTCATGCCTCACGCCGCCCCCGCCCCGGACCGCAGGCGGCGGCTCCCGGCGCTACACCGAGGGCTTTGGCTACGACGACGGCGTGCCTTCCGACGACTACCCCACAGACCCCTACTCTGTGTGGGGCGCCCTCACCGATGGCTTTGTGGCTGTCACCCTCAAGGCCCAGGAAATGGTGGCACAGTTCTACTCCACCGATTATAAGAACGGCACCATGGCTGTGCACGTGGCCCGCATCCCGCACCTGCTCAAGCCGGGGCCCGACCTGGATTGAGGGCTGGATCGAGGGCCTGCATGGAGTGCCTCCTTGAGGCCTTGTCAAGCGCGGCGCTGACGCCGCTGCAGAGGGGACTGCCCTCTTGAAGCCCGTGACCCTGTGTCTCCTGATGTGTTTTGTTTTCTCCCGCCGATACAACACCGACCAACTGCTTTCTACTACTGCCCGTTCCTGCGTGCACACTTGCAACATGGATGGCGTGCTGTTGCCGCCTTGCGCAGCGCAGGCCAAACAGCCGGCCACTGGGTCCGACCTTCTAAGGCTGTTTGTGACGAGTCTCCGTTCGCCAAGAAGTTCACATCGGTAACAAACACCAGTGCTGCAGGACCAGGCATGTGTGAGAGGCGTGCCGGCGCCGCCCAGCCAGACGGGGCGTGCCGGCGGCAAGCCGCTGCCGCCGCTCTCCTGCTGCGGCCGCCCGCCCCCGCCACCTTCAGAATAGGCGCAGTTTTGGGCAATCCAAGCGCCACCGCCGCCAAACCGGAGCGGCCCGAGAAGCCTTAAGGCTAGCATGCTATGGCAGTGGTGGCCAACCACCACCGCCAGCTGGCGGGCAGTTCATGTTCACCTAGGTGTCGCTGTTCGGCCCACAGACCTTCAGTGCCGCCGATTGTCCCTTGATCATCATTTGGAAGCCCTGCTTGCCTTTCCGGAGCACCCCCCGGCGGATACGATCGTGCGATGCCAACCCGTCCTCTTGCGGCGGCTTACGGGCCGCTGCTCATGCTGTTGTGCGCCCAGGCGATGATTGCCGGGGTGGCGGCCCAGGGCTCCCAGGCGGACGTGCAAGTCGCCTTGCCGCAGGCCTTCCCCGTGCGTTTCTTCGTGGTTGGCGACTGGGGGAGAGCCAGCGACTCGTGAGTGGCTGCTGCAGAGCCATGATTCGTGCCGCTGGCGGGGGCAACCTTTGGGCGCGCCAGGCCATCACGCCCCCGGCAGCGCCCGCCGACACGCCTGCCGCCATCTGCCTGGCCAGGCCGGACACAGCACCCCAACCAGGCAGCTCCTGAATAGCGGTCTGGGCGCATATTGATACTGCTGCCATGCTCCTGGGGCAGTGCATCCAGCTGCCACCTTCCGGCCCGCAAAACCTATGCGCCTTGCCCTACTGTCGGCACTGCCGCCGCTGCGTGCAGGCACCCCAACGGCTACAACCAGACCCGTGTCGCGCAGATGATGACCAAGAAAGCAAACAGCGCCTACGGCAAGCCGCACTTTGTGCTGAGCACTGGAGACAACTTGTAAGCCGCGGGGCTGGAGGATGCAGGCAGGGGACACCCCAACCACACATGTGCACTGGTAATTGCTACCGCCATCGCGCGCCTGGTTTCCGCAGTTACGGCTTTGGGCTGAGGAACCTGAGCGACCCCTGGTTCACACAGAAGTTCACCAACATCTACAAGGGCCCAGGGCTGCAGGTCCCCTGGTTTTCCGTCTTGGGCAGTGAGTTCGAGCTGCAGTGTGGGTGGGGCGCCAGTGCGGGGCTGCCTGATCTGCACTGTGCGGGCTGTTGTGTGTGGGTCTGCAGGCTGTGGTGGCCTCACAGCACCTGTGCCCCCCCCCCCCCCAGGCGCACCGCTCAGCCTGAAACGCACCCGCACCTTGCTACGTGCGGCCCCCATATCCCACCCCACTTGCCCTCACTGGTGGCCTTGAAGGTGGGGAAGAGCCTCCACAAGCTTCACTTCCCGGTTTTAACGTCTAGCTTTAGACCATTATTTGATCTGCCCGACGCGCCAAGTGCAGTACCCCCCACTAGTAGTGAATGGGTCCCGGGGAGGCCTGTGCCGAAGCCTTGGCGATTCTATTAGGCGTTCCCGGCCTTGCCACCCCATGTGCATCCCTCCATCCAAACAGATCATGACTACAGCGAGACCAGCTATTGCACCCCAGATGAGATCACGTGAGTGGGGCCAGGCTGGTCGTGGCCACGCTCCTCTGGTCCCTCACACACTCAATGCGCTCCACCACCCTGTGCCCTCCCCACCCCCCCTGCAGCTCCCCTCTGTACCAGCTTGACCCGGCGCTGCGCAAGCGCGACTGGCGCTGGCACGCGTTCCGCAACAGGAAGCTGAGCCTGGCGGGCGGTCAGGTGGGCTGAGCTGGCGTTATGAGTGTGTGTGGGGGGTGGCTTGAGAAGCAGGCCAGGCCTGTGCGGTCGCTCATGCTGATGGCGTGTGGAGGGAATGGGATAGCCCCATCTCATCGTCACGCCACGCCACCACCTCAGCTCCTGGCCCCCTTGCTTTCCTCCCGCTCCAGGTGGACCTTTTCTTCTGGGACACCACACCCTCCTCATTGTACAACTTCTACATTTGCTCCGGAGGATTCAAGGGAGGCATCCGCACCCAGGTGGGGCGCAAAGCAGGGGCGGGTGGCAGGCGGCGAGTGCTGCTGCAAAGGTGCCTGCGGCCGCCAGCTGGGCAGCCACCCGGGGTGCACCCCACTGGCCAGCAGTTGTACCAACCTGGCCAAATGGACGGCATTCCCCGCCCCTGCAGAGCTGGCCCAACAACGTTGTGTGGCTCCAGAACCAGCTGGCTGCCAGCAAGGCCTCCTGGAAGCTCATTGTGGCCCACCACCCGCCCCGCAGCAGCGGTGAGGGCCCCCCATGCGAGCCTGCCTGCCCGCCTGCCTGCTGGCCCTCCTCACCGGGCCGCGCCACCCGCCCTGCGTACATGCCAGCCCTGCCAGCCTCCCCAGCACGCGACCCTTGCCAGCTGACCGCCCAGCCCCCCCCCAGCGCCTTTCTTTCTCCCTTCCTTTCCTTCCGCAGGGCGCCACGGCGGCTCCTCGGAGGTCAAGTACGCCGTGGAGTCGCTGATTAGAAAGTACCGGGCCCAGGTCTACTTTGCGGGTGCGCCCCTATAGCCTCCCACCGCCATGCACCTGCACCTGCTGCGCCCTTTTGCTGCTTCTTTTTGCCCCTGGCCGGCGGCCGCCTTCCCCCTCCTGGCCGGCCCAGGCCCGAGCCGCCAGGGCTGGGATGTGGGGGGCGGTTGCTCCACAGCGGGGCGGGGCGTCGGCCAGCGGATCGCTGTGGCGTGCCACCTCGATGCGTGCTTGGGTGGCGCGGCCCTCGCCTGCAGGGCACGACCATGACCTGGAGCACCTGCACTACAACAGCTCCAGCTTCTACAAGCCCAACTACCACACCATCGTGTCGGGTGGGTGCGCTGCAGGGGGGCAGCTGAGGCGCCTGTGGGCACGCCTGGCGATTGCGGTGCCCTGCACCGGTGCAGGGGTACCCCCCCTCATCTGCATGCCCAGGGCGGTGCTGCCTGACCCCATGCCCCCCTCCCCCCGCGTCCCGGCCCGCAGGCGGCGGCTCCCGGCGCTACACCGAGGGCTTTGGCTACGACGACGGCGTGCCTTCCGACTACTACCCCACAGACCCCTCCTCGGTGTGGGGCGCCCTCACCGACGGCTATGTGGCCGTCACCCTCAAGGCCCAGGAAATGGTGGTGCAGTTCTACTCCACCGATTTTAAGAACGGCACGACGGCTGTGCACGTGGCCCGCATCCCGCGCCTGCTCAAGCCGGGGCCCGACCTGGATTGAGGGCTGGATCGAGGGCCTGCATGGAGCGCCTCCCTGCGGCCTTGTCAAGCTCGGCGCTGACGCCGCTTCAGAGAGAAGTTCCCTCTGAAGAAACGTGAAGCCCGTGCCCGGCGGCGCCCTACTAGTAGTTAGTGTACTAGGCGGGTAGATGTGGTGCTACAAGGGTAGACTAGTGCTACCCGGGCCCGCCACCTTTGGTGGCCGCCTCCGCCGCTGTGTTTGTTTGTGTCCAGGGCACATGCCTCTCTGCATTTGTTTGATCTGGAATCTGGTTCTCCGTTCCTCTTGCCATGGCTTTGTGGCGAGCCTGCGCTTGTGGCGAGCCTGTGTTTCTTTTCCCGCCACCGGGAGCACCTTTTGTCGCACCTTTTGAATGGACCGGTGCATTGCAGCAAGCGGTGACATGAATCGAGTGCCCAGGCAAAGTGCCCGGCATGTAACAGTGTAAGAATGTGCCTCTGCAACGGATACAGTGCTGGCAGGCAGAGCCAGGCGGCGCTCAGCAAGCCAATCAGTCGAGCCGCGCAGCGCTGCTGGGCCGCGGCTCCCGCCGCCGCTGCGCCCGCTGCCGCCGCCACCATCAGGCGCGCGCACTAGGGCGCACGTCTCCCTTGGTGTCAGGCTCGCAGGTGGCTTTCTCAACAGCTTTTCTCAACAGCTTCCAGCATCAAATATCAGTGCGGGTGTGCATAGTATATCAGTGCGGGTACGCATGTGACAGCTGTCAGGAGCGCTGCCCCTTGAAGGAGCGCTGGGCTCTGTTGACTGGAGTCAGGCCAGCGCGGCCGCGAGGCCCATCGCGGTGGCATTGCGCAGGAACTGGCAGGGGTGGTTGGGCCAGGCCACAATCTCCCGGTTGCGGGGCCCCGGCACCAAGTCGCACCACTCCGGCGCCTCCAGCGTCAGCGGCTGCCAGGCGGCGTAGCCCTCTGCAGGCAGGGGGCGCAGGCGGTTGGGTGGGCGGCGGGCGGCGGCGGCGGTGTGCGGTGGTGCGTGGAGTATGCTGCACTGCGCTGTGCTGCGCCATGCACGCAGCCAGCGCGGCACGGCACAGCATACTGCAGACCAAGCGGCAGCGCAACCCCGCACGCGCATGCAGGGCGGACGCCGCGCCCAGCACCCCCTCACAGCGCGGCGCAGCGCACGCAGCACGGCGCAGCGGCGGGGGGCGCACCGGTGTAGGGCTGGGGCTGGTCGTAGTGCCAGTACGCCAGCACCTCCTCCCACTCCCCCTCCTCCCGAGAGCTGCCCGAGTACCAGAACAGGTCCCGCGCCACATTCGCGTACAGCACATCAAAGTCGAAGGAGTCGTCGTCGCGGTCGAAGCCGCGCAGCAGGCCCGGGCGCATGCCGCTGCAAGGGGGGGGGGGGGGGGGGGGGGGGGGGGG